GCTCCTCCGGCTGCCAGCCGCCCGCGGCGCGCGGAAGTGATGTCACGCCCTTGTCCCGGCCAAAGCGCGCGGAAGTGACGTCACGTTATCGACCCGCCCCCTCCGGCGCAGGGCGTGGCTCTGGCGTTCCTCTAGAGGCCCGCGACAGGGACCTGGTGTCCACGGCAAGCTAGCAGCAACCGCACCGGAGCGGCCTAGGCGGGGAGTTCGCTCCGGTTAAGTCGGGTGTTGACGACACCGCGCTTCTATGAAGGCTCCAAAGTTGCCCTTCAGGAAGTCGCCTCTAAGGCAGAGTCCAAGAAAAAGCTGAGCGCGCGCCAGTGGGGTCACCACTGGTTACGGACCCCAAGGGCTGAGCCGGGATGGGAAGCAGACAAGACCCTCGCCCGTGGACACCAAACTGATGGAATGGCTTTATTCAAGTCGCCCAAATCTATGTGAACCTTAATGTTGTCACTGTCTTACGGGAGACGTGATCTTCTGACAGCGCCTGGCGGATGCAGGGTCGATGGGATCGAGTATTCCAGGCCGGACGCTGAGCCTTGTTCACACTGTTGGGGGAGTCACCCTGGGAGAAGGACGCTCGGGTGGGTGTTGAGATCCCCGGGCCAAGCCCTGAGGCTTTCTGCTGCAAACGTGCCGTTCTCTCTGTAAGCGCTAGATGGCGCTAGAATGCCACGCGAACATGCCGCCTTCATTCAGCGAAAAGGAGCCAGTCTGGAGGCTGAGAGCTCCCGTCCAACCCAAATCCAAGGTTGTAATTCAGCAAGCCTTGCCAACTGTGTCCTTGAATACAGCCCGTGTAGCTACAATGTCAGAGGTAATTCTGACTAAGGCGTGTATAATCCAGCCCCTTGTTTCCCTGCCCTAATCCCATTTCAGACACTGGAAATTGCTCACAACTTCTGTCGATGTCTTTCTGCCCTTGTCCCTATTATTCCTTCTTCCTTGTGATACATTTTCCTTCACTCCCAGGTGAGTAAAATCATCTTATCACCCCTGGCCCCTTGATTGCTGAAAATTCTTTTCCCAGTTTCCCAAGCAAGAACATCTTCCTCTTTGATTCCAAGGCATGCTGAACAAGCTGACTATAGCCCTAAGTCCATTGCATTGGGCTTATTTGTATCCCACACAATGTTAAAGTGCACAAATCAGGCCCAGTAAGGTGGAGCACACCTGTAATCCCAGCATTCCGGAGGCTGGAGCAGGAGGATTGCCACGAGTTCAAGGCCAACTGGGACCACATGATGAGTTCAAGGCCAGACTGAGCTATACAGTGAGACCCTGTCTCAAAAAGAAAATATGCAAAGATCAGGAACATATCCATTAAAACAGTAAGATGCTATTATTAAACTTGGGACCCAAAGCAAGGCACCAGAGAACCCGTGGGCTCCTCAAAGGCGAGGAGTCACAGAAGAGAGCTCACGGGTCTTGGGGGCTGGAGTTAGTTGTAGACTTGGCAGATGAGGCGAGTGGACTGAGAAGCCAGTATTCTCGTCTCTGGAACACAGGAAGCCTTGGGGAGCTGGTGGGAGATGAACTCATGGCCTCCTCTTGGAGCACACAGAACTGCATGAACTGGTGTTGAGATCGTGACCTAGATCACATGCGTTAGTAGAATTTTTGTTTACACATCACGGTGAGGTGCACTTCATTTGTGTCTTACTTCAGTTCTCCATCCTCCCAGCTGCCAACCAGATCAACTTTGCCTTCTCTTTGTGCTAGTTATGGTCAGAGGAATGGGAACACTGTGATTGCCCTGAGGTTTCTCAACTTCAGTGCTGTTAATTAACACTTTGAAAGAGGGAGGGGACATACCCTGTGCACTGTGGCAAGTTTAGTGGCACCCCTGGCCTCTGCCCACTAGATGTCAGTAGCATACCACCTAGCTGCCTGCTACAATTGGGATCCAGAGCCCCACTGCCTGCCTGGTAAAGGAGCAGTTCCCTGGAGTGGCTCCTGGGAGGTGGTGGAACCTTTCAAGAGGTAGGACCTAGGTCCCCAGGTCACTGGGCTCGTGCCCTCAAAAGCGACAGTGGGACCCCACCCTTCTTCCTCTTGTCCTTGTGGCGGGGGGGGGGGGGGG